TTAGAACAGTGCCTTACATTTGAAAAGCATTCCTAACTATAAGCTAAAGTCACAATCTGTCATTAAATATCAACCTACCACATCCGTTTTTATCAAGTTTCTTTTGTTGCAAAGGGAAGAGAACGGGACGTGGGCACTTTGGTATAAAAAATGGTCATTAAAAACTACTGTATAATTCAAAGAAAACAATAATCTTAAAGTTGGTGGCTGTCTGCAAGTACAATGGACAGACATACACCCACTTCAATCATCCATCTACCTGTCTATCCATCTGTCCATTCATACAGACCTTATTAAGCATAATCTATGGAAGAAGCACTATACTTCTAACCTGAGCTGACCTGGTACCTAATTGTACTTGTAGAAATGGCAGATAAGAAAGGGAACACAAACATTTCTGGGCTAGAGAGGCAGTAAAGTGTCCATTGTGCTGTGAAGCATGAAGACTAGGGATGGCCCTAGAATGTATGTTAAAAAGCTGGGCGTGGTGGCACACACTTACAATCCTGGTTTTGGGAAGGCGGACAGAAGGGCCCCTTTACTTCCTTGGCCAGCCTTGCTGAATCCAAAAGCCCAAAGTCACAGAGAGACCTTACCCCACCCCTGTCCTACTAGGAGAGTGTATGGCTCCTGAGATGCACACTCAGGATTGTCTTCTGTCCTCAAGTTCACACAAACACTGCCATCAAAACACCAACATTTTTAATGATGACAAGATAGTTCATAATCAATCACGAGCTTCACATCCCCCCTCCCCCCAGGATTGGGGTCTGTTGTTTCCACCTAGTTATCAATCAAGCATGTATCCACCTTATGAAGCTCTCATGTATCCTGAGCTCAAAAGAAAAGCTCCATGCACTGTCATGACTGGTGCTATCAAGAGTGCTCATTTAAGTGGGATGAAAATGTACTTCCAAGCCAGGCGGTGGTGGCGCATGCCTTTAATCCCAGTGCTCAGGAGATCTCTGTAAGTTTGAGGCCAGCCTGGTCTACAGAGTGAGTTCCAAGACATCCAGGGATACACAGAGAAACCCTGTCTTGGAAAAAAATTAAAGAAAGAAGAAAATGTATTTTCAAATACTATCGCTAGGCAAAGAAGAGTGGGCAAATGTTCAGAGCGTAGGCGCATCACAGGCCAACCTTAGCTGGTCTAGCTTTGGGGTAGGATCTCATGTGAGGGAGGTATAATAAATATATCCCCAAACACATTCAAGCAGAGTGGGAAAAAGTGGGAGAAAGGTGACAGCCCCTACAACTCTCAGGAAAAAAGCTTTTAATCTGAGGACTTCTCACTCACACTAGAGAAAGTCACTTGAGACCCACCAACTAGAATGCCCCCTGGAAGTCAGGTAGTCATCGAGCATCTGCTGTATGCAGTGTGCATTATATTATAATTATCAGCTTTCTCCTATGAGTCTTATTGATTTAGAGTTTAGTTTTACTATGTAATATCAATAGAAAATAGGGAGTAGAAACAGAAAATCAGATGCCATGGGCTTCTGATAAACTAGGCAAATGCCATTCATCCCGGAGAGCACGTGATGTGCACAGGCAGAACAGCAGTGCCATGGGCAGTGGGATGGCATGCCACCAGGAAGGAGATGGGGCGGGGTGTATTTTTGGATGCTGTAAAGACGCTGGTACCACTTGGCCCTTGGAATGTCAGACTCAGTTATGAGTGGTGCCTGCCCCAAAGGAGACAGGTAGTAGGCAGGTCATACTCACGAGCTGGTAACAAGAAAAGCACATCACATTTCTAGACTCTGAAGATGCTCAATGACATCTTCTCTCCCCAGGACCCCCTAGCCATTCTTCTCATGTCTTGTTGCAATTGAAAACAAGCCCTCTAGGCAAGGTAGTTTGCTTTCTCCTCAAAAACTAAACAGCTTAAGCAAAGTTGTTTAGGATTCTCTGAATTATCACATGCCTGTCTTTGGTGGTCCGGCTGATGTTAGTGCTAACTGCAATTTCACATCTGGAATGAGAAGCACTCAGGATGGAGACATAGTCTTCTGCATTTTTGTTCTGTCAAGTGTAGGCTACCTTTCTGGCACTTTGTATTTGAACAAGCTCGACAAAGCACTCTCCAGGCTGGAGGATATGGCATTTGTCAATGAACAGAAACAGACCTTGAGGTCTCCCGACTTAGGGTGGTGACAGGTTACACAGCAACTAGGTTTTTATCACTTTTCCACGTGAAAGAGAACACCGGTCTATACCACAAACACTGAAAAAGCTTGAATGAAAATAACTCATCCCCAAGACAACTGCTTTGCCTAAGGACAGCGTTATTTCTGTAGCTATTCTCTGGCAGCAGATCGCTGGCAAGTGTGGAACCTGAGGCACTTAGAGTGACTCGGGTGACAAAGTCAAGATGGGAAGAGAGAGCCTCGGCAGACAGGCTTTCAATTAGGAAACTGGGGAATGGCCGACCCTGATAGTCATTAACACAGTATTTTCATCAAGGACAGGAAGGTAATAAAGATAAAGACACCACTTTAAAGTCCAGGGCTAGAGACTACTTGTAAAAATCATGTCTAATAAAATATTTTTATGACCCATTGATGCTATAAAGTGATCACAACTTGCTATTTAGACTACAGAAACCAGAGTTTGGTTAACCAAGTGTAACAGGGTTCCCTTGCCCCCCCCCATTTCTTTTTATGGACTAAATGAAGCTTTTAAAAGATTGACTGCTATCTTGTGTCTGCATCCTTATTTCTAGGGGATGGGAGACCCCATGCCAGTGGGGACTTAGAGGTACAAAGCGCTAACATGATGATCACTCTGGTTAGGTAGCAGTTTACTGGTGTAGTACCAGGTCGTGATCAATTCATACAGAAATTAAAAAGTGGGCAGGTGTGGTGGCGAATGTCTTTAGTCCTAGAACTCCGGAAGCAGAGGCGGTGGATCTCTGTGAGTTTGAGGCCAGCTTGGTCTACAAAGTGAATTGCAGGACAGCCAGAGCTGTTACCCAGAGAAACCCTACCTCAAAAAACTAAAACCAAAACCAAAACAGGAAAACAAAAACAAAGATTAAAAGGTTGAATTCATCCAGTAAACTGTCTGTCAAAGGAATAAATCAAAGTGTATTTCAAAGTCTGCTTTGACTGCATCAAAAATCAGAAAATGAGTCTTCCCTCTTCAGGTAATTGTTTCTCTCTGAGAGCAAATGAGAACAGCCTCCAAATCTGAGGGTCAACTACCTAAGGGACATGCTTTCCAGTTCCTTCAGTAAGGTTTGGTTAAAAATAACAAACAACAAAAACAAAACCAAATTAGACTGTCACAGCCCACAAAAACATCAGGCATTCTATTTTATGGTATATTTGAATCTAACAAATCCATGAATTAAAACAGTGTGGCTTAATTAGCATTAACCAGAATTGATTTACAACAAAGCAGAAGAAAAGTTCCAGGTAGACAGTAAAGACAACTAAAAATAAAATATAAGTTATAATAATTAGATTCATAGTAATTCACACATCAAAATTTAATCTAAAATGCCATCTGAAATGTTTGATAAATGCAATGTATTTTTATTATATTAGTTGCTGATACAACTAATTAACAAAAGGCAAAATTGGGATGCTATGGAGAATATAAGATAAATTTGAGACCATTAAGGAAAACTTACCTTTTGATATGGACCTTAGAGGCTGCTTATGGCTTCTAACAGAATCATAGGCAAATTTGGATACAGAAAGGATGTGAACCTCATCTGAAATTGTGGCTGAATCATTCACCTGTTTTAAACAAGCTTACTGAGCACACTCCAGGTGTGAGGTATCATGTCAAGCACGGAAGTGTGTGTGTGTGTGTGTGTGTGTGTGTGTGTGTGTGTGTGTGTGTATCCACTTAGACTTATGAAACAGACAAGCAAACTGTGGGTGAGGAATCATACAGAGGAGACCCCAGGATAGAATAGGAGCATGGAAGGATACCCAATCTGGGCTAGCATGTGCCCGGAGAAAAGTCCATGAAAAGGAAAAGCAGCCAGGTTAGATAGGATTAATAAATTCTGGGATAGGACAATACACAAACCACCAAGAACACACGGGAGGAACTTGGGAGCATGCTAGTCTCACACAAGCTAATCCACAGCACCAAAATACACTGCACTGTCTCGAGTCAGCTCTCATGAGGACACACGGTCATTATGGGCAGAGGAAAACACAATCTGAAAAAGATGGCCATCACCTCCGACAGACCCAAAACGTTCTTTGCAGAGGCCAGGTGTGGTCAGCTAAAGGTTATTCTTAGTTGCATGAACACAGCTTTTATCCAGGCCAGAAAAACTGCAAGTTTTGAAATTCTGCTTCTTTTGTGTTATGGTTTGAATGTGAGCTGTCCCTTGCTGGCTCATCCGCCTGAATCCTTGGTCCCAGCTGGTAGCACTGTTTTGGGAGGTTGCAGGATCTTTTAGCCACAAGGCTTAGCTGACAGAATAGAGCAGTTAGGGCATCACTTGCGTTATGGCTTGGCAGGTTCAAGCCCTAGCTGTCTGCTTCCCAGCTGCTAATATGACGTAACACTGCTTAGGACTCCCTCCTTCACAGAGACAAGCTGCTCCCTTCTCCATACTTCCTTCACCTTCATGGTCTGTGTGCCCTCAAACCAGGGGCCCACATCAACCCTCCCTCCATTAAGCTACTTCTGTCAGGAATTCGGCCACAGCCACGATAAAAGTAACCAATACACATCTTTTGTGGAATACCATTTATAAAGAGCCCAACGATTTCTTTCTTGGGCTCACTTACTCTCCCAGCAAAGGAGGATTTGTTACGCGCTAAGGACAAATGCAGGAGAGTATCAACAAGAGAGCCACAGCTTCTTAGATGGAATGGAGCTGGGGCTGTCAAAGCGTATGAGCCTGTCTGTAGTCTTTGTGTGCATGCTGCTGAAGTGAGCACACACCTACTGAGTTTATAGTAAGAAAGTTAGGAGAGAAGTCCGTCAAAAATCTTTCTAGCTGTTGGAATATACGAAGGAAACAAAAATTTATAAAGAACGTTGGTTTTATTCATTACTGAACGACGACTATCATTTTTAGACAGGGTCTTGCTTTGTGGTCCAAGCTGGCTTCAAACGAGCAATTCCCCTGCCTCAGACTCTTGAGCTCCAGGATTTCAGACAAGAAGCCACCACTTCTGTGATATGCTGGTCTTAAAGGGAGAAAGACAGTTGCCGGAATGGCTCAAGTTTTTCTTCTTAGAAGAAACTCACTATGAAGAGGAAGGGTGAAGACATCCTCTTCCTCCATTCCGTCCAGTTCCAGTTTCAGAATGTAGGGCAGCCAAAAAAACAAAAGAATATACAAAATTATGAAGGCACAGACATCTGCTTCTTAAACTCCATGGAGTGCTGGTTCTTCACAACCCTAGCCACTGCCACTGTCTGTATTTTCCTGACCGCTGCCTATGTCTTTATGGCTAGGAAACTGAAATGCCTAGTTGAGGTATAAACATGGAGATTTTCCTCGCGGCTCTGAGCCATACTTCTGTAGGAGCAGAGGCAGGGCTGGGAGCGGGGGGCAGTCTTGCTTTAAGCTGTGATAATTGACAGCTACATCTGGTATAGTGTGAGGTAGAGGACCACAGTCTGTTCCAGGTTCAAATATGTGTATAGATAAACAGAAAATCTCTCCAAAGTCCAAAACAGTGATGAGGGGAGACTATGGGAGGAGAATGAATGAATATTCAGGCTTTATTTCAGACCAACTGGTACACGCCTGTCAGCAGCCACGTGCCTCCCTTTTGTCCCGAGGAGGCCTGCCCGTTCCAGTGTGCAGTACACCCTGTTGGTGAAGAATTCAGCTCTGTCTGGCCCTTGTTCTTGAACAAAGTCACTTGCTCGCTAGCTTCCTAAGTGTTAGTAGCTGTGATGTGGAAATACATTAATTTTAACACAAAACAAAGTATGCACCTTTTCAAAAGCAACACGTAAGGAAAACCACCCCGTGACAGTGAAATCCCCGCTGGGCAGTCCCCCTCACCCGTGTAGCCCTCAAGGGTTAGCGTCCGTACCCACGGCCACTCTGGACCGTCCTTCCACGGCAGCGGAGCTAAGCTGAGGCCCGTCTCGTTGACTGCCCTCTGAATGGTCCCTTTCTGCATGGGCGGTGAGTGCCAAGCCTGTGGCCAGTTCCGAGTTAGCTCTGGATGGGAGACCTGGGTGCAATTATCCTTTGTTTTAGCTTTGACTGGGAGGAATTTGTTTCCTTTGTAAGGGTGAAAATTGGGGCTGGGCAAACTCTTGACAAAGAACGACATCCAGGTCTCTTTCAAGGACGAAATAACTAAAATCAGATGAGATCAATGTTGTTTTAGCACAGCACGTTTTCATTCATCAGAAGCAGAGTTTCTTTGCTACCTCTCCTAAAAGGAGCCAGAACTTCCTTTCCCTGCTCCTTAAATTCACTCTGTACAGGCTGAAGATGAGATACAAGTTTAGCAATTAAGGAGCCATACTTCTGCTTTTTCTAGTACTAAAAATAAATAGCAGGTATCAGAGAGAAGAGCCTGGGTGTCGCTAGATTTCTTGATTCCTTAGAGAGAAAAATGACCACTGCCACCTCATGTCCACAGCACTTACTTTCGAATGGCTACCGACCTACTTACCATTTATGGTAGGACCATCTTAGGCAAGAGGTGGGACACAGGGTTCCATTTATGACGTAACACTTACGTGAGGTCTTCTGTATAGTCATGGGTCGAATGTGTTCTAAATCATAGCCACCACGTGACGTCATCATGTGACCATCATAGAGTGTACTTAGAGAAAACTTGATGCTAGAGTCTGCTGCACAAGTAGGCTGCAAACCTGAACTGCATGTTACTCCACTGAATATTGAATGTGCAATACAACTGTCACTGTATTATCTGTACATATCTAAGTATAGAAGAGACCCAGCAAGAATGCTATGCAGTAGGAATCTTTTATCTCCATTATAATCCTATGAGACCATCACCATATGTGCAGCCTGTTATTGACTAAAATGTCCTTATGTGACTCCTGACTGTGTATATAAGTTAAAGTTGTGGCAAGTTAAGGATACATATACTTGATATTTACAGGAAAATGAATTCTGAAGGACTATAAAATAGAACATGACATCCAACTGCTGTGCATATCGCTCTAATAAATAAAATGCTGATTGGCCAGTAGCCAGGCAGGAAGTATAGGCAGGACAAGCAGAGAAGAGAATGCTGGGAACAAGAAGGCTGAGTCAGGAGATGTTGCCAGCTGCAGCCATGAGCACCAACATGTAAGACACTGGTAAGCCACGAGCTATGTGGCAAGGTATAGATTTATAGAAATGGGTTAATTAAAGATGTAAAAACTGGATAACAAGAAGCCTGCTGCGGCCACACAGTTTGTAAGCAATATAAGTCTCTGTGTGTTTACTTGGTTGGGTCTAAGCAGCTGCGGGACTGGCAGGTGAGAAAGATTTGTCCTGACTGTGGGCCAGGCAGGACTGGAGAAAACTCCAGCTACATCCAGCATCAGATGGTACTCATGTAAAATGCTTCAAATTGTATTAATTTCTGTAAAAATGTACATATGTCCCTTGGCCACCACTAATTTATTCTTGGACAGAAGACAGAATATTCATGAATTCAAGCTAATGTAGGTAATTGGTAAAAAAAAAAAAAAAAAGTAAATTGGGGTGAAAAGATAAGTCTACAATGCAGAAGAAGTCCAAAGAATTAGAGCCAGCCTGGTCTACAAAGTGAGTTCCAGGAAAGGGGCAAAGCTACATAGAGAAACCCTGCCTCAAAAAAAAAAAATTATGTACTATGCCTGCCTCAAGAAGATGGGTGTTTAATTCCCTATTCCTTGAGTAAGGGCTGTGCTTTGTGATTTGGTTCCAAAGAGCAGAGTATATAAAGAGTCTGGAGAAAATGAGGAACTCAGCATGGCAGAGAAACCTGAAAACACTGTGTTGGCAAGGTGGTCAAAATTAATGGAAAGTTTTTTTTTTTTTAATTTTTTTATTTGAGACCAGGTCTCTCTATGTCGATAGCCCTGGCTGGCCTGGAATTCAGAGTTCTTCCTGCTTCTGCCCCCCAAGGCCTGGCATTAAAGAGAGGCATGTGCCACTATACCATGCTATATGGAAACAGACTAAGCCAACTTAGTCAACATTCAATTGCTGTGAAAAGGCACCATAACCTCACCAACTCTTATTTTTTTTAAAAAGCATTTAATTGGGGCTGGCTTATAGTTTCAAAGGTTTAGTCCATAATTTTCATGGCTGGGAGCATGGTGGCATGCAGACATCATGCTGGAGAAGCGGCTAAGAGTTCTAGATCTGCGTCTGCAGGCAGCAGGAAGAAAGAGAGAGAGCCACTGGGACTGGCTTGAGCTTTTGAAACCCCCAAGTCGCCCCCAGCAACACACTTTTTCCAGCAAGGCTACACCTCTTAAGCTTTTCAAATAGTGTCACTCCCTAAGCATTTAAGTCTATGAGTCTATGAGGGTCACTCTTATTCAAACCATCAGAGACAGTCCAGTAGACTTGGCCAATATTTCTCAAAACTGTCAATTTAGAAAAACAAAATCTGAGAGAAACTGCTGAAAAGCATCAAGAGAGGATGAGTACATAATAAATCACACTAGAAAGCTGACAGGGGAGAGAGAGTAGAAGATAACTACAAAATCTGAACGGTGTGTTTAATACTGTAGCATTGCTGGTTCCTTAGTTGTGACAAATGTCAACACGAGGGGACATGTGAGGAACCCTCTACTTCGGAACGTCTCTATAGATGTAAACTTGCTTTAAAGAAAAAGGTCATTCACATTTAAAAGATTAGCATTCTGCTATGCTGATGTAATAAGAGTTCCTATGTATCAATCAATACATCTCTTTTTTTCTTCTTGCTCACACACATCTATTCGCCAAGCCATATGGCATGAGTAACTTTCTTGAAACATAAGAATATTCCGATTTTAAAGCCAAATGTAGTCAGACCTATTTTTGGAGTCTTAGATTTCTCAGGAATAGTTGGGTCATGCCCTCAGTAATGTGCCACAAATGCTCAAAAGATAACATCCAGGAAACCAACATTCTCAGTGTCTTGAAAAGATGTGAAATCCTTCAGCTTCCCACTCAGTACTCGTACACTGCCTGTGGCTGTTATTCGGGACAGGAGTGACAAGGTGGCACATTAATCTCTAGAAGTAACATTTTGTGTCAGACAACCCACAGCAGCAGTCACTTGCTGATCGGCTGTTCTCAGGAGGCAAGGGGCAGCGAGACTGATGTGTCTCTGCTCTACAATGCAAATGACATTATTCCCCTGCTACGCCTCACCTATCTATCAGAATTATTAGAAATGATGTTCTTGGGAAAACACAGCATTTTCTTTCATAAGGTTTTCAGTTATTTTATTTGAGGGAGAATTAAAAAGGTGGTAATAAAAACGATGTTTACTTAAAAAAAACTTTAAGGTTCCTAGAATTGTTAGTAAGAATTGTATTTTATTAACATTTTAACTGCACACTTTGAAAAGTTGAGCTAATAAATTAATTAACTAAACAACATTTGGCTGGAGTCAGTTCTCTACTTTTAAAGGAAAGAGTGCAAATGCAATGAAAGAAAGTTGGAAAACCACACGTGACTTCCTAAGGTTTAAAATAAGATTCAGTGGAAGTCACATATTCACCGCCTGTAGTGACTTCCGGCACAAGAAGAAGACACACTCTCTGCCAATAAGTGTTTACCACGGAACTTTAGTGGAGACAGCCATGAACCTTAACATTACTGAGGTGAGCAGAGTCTAAAATGAATGTGGGTAGACCATTCTAATTTAGTCATAAGCAGTTCACAGAATATGTATTTCACATCATGTTAGAGTACTGTGTGTGTGTAAACAATGAGAACAGTCCCTTTGTCAGAATCAAAGATGCATCAATTATTATCTCAACTATTTAACATAATGCTGCAAGTTCGTATTTAACAAGCAAGGGAACAGAAGTAAGGGAACAGATTCAAAGTCCTTCAGCTTTAACAAGTGTCAGTATTGACTCTCTGGCTGCCTCCAGCTTTGTTTTAAAGTATTTAGATATCTTTCAATTTTTGTGATTACAATTTAATTACAACATCTCTCCCTTCCTTTCCTCTCTCCAAGCCCTTCCATATAGCCCTTCCGACTCTCCTTCAAATTCATGGCCTTAACAAAACAAAACAAAAAAAAAGCCAAACCTCATTGTTATTGCATGTATATGTATGTATATACACATATAGGCATTCCTAACTATAACCTATTTAGTCCATATAATACTACTTGTATGTATGTTTTCAGGGCTGAATGTTTGGCACTGGACAACCAATCCATGTGCTCTTTCCTGGGGAAGGGCACCTCTGCTGTTCCCAGTCTTCCTCAGCTGCCTACAGTTCCTGGTCTTTCTCTATCCAGTATGGCATACTCGGTGGTGTCATGGTTGTTTGGCTCACTTTGGGCAGTGACTACTATTTCAGGAAATATTTATTACTAACTAGGTGTTTATTAAGTCATCTAAATTTCTAGGCCTCGGATTTCTAGTATAGTGTTGGCTGGTTGATTTATAATGTTTGTTCCAGTTTTAAAATAGTTCTATGATTTATATATAGAAAAGCAAATTGCCAGTTCACAATGTATTTGTCAAAATGAGGTCATTAACACTCGTATTTACTAAATTTTATGATGATGGAGATCTATGTAGATATTCATCCATTTTTTTCAATACTTTCAGTCCAATTTATTAACCAGGACTAGTGAGCTCAGCATTTTCAATGTACACAAATAAGAGAAGATGTAGTCTTCTCTACACAAACAAAATACTTAAATCTTTACCTTTTACAGAATCTACAACTTGAATTTAGAAATTAATGATGCAATGAATACCATTTTGTGGATCTGAAAACAATCAAAAGGTTTATTTTAATTCACATTCTTAAAATACAACAGTTTTAGACAAACAGTACTTATAAGCACATTTGTAACACGGTAGACATAAATATAAATGAAATGTATAATTATATAAATTTTCACATATTTTCGAAAAAAGAACTACCTCTTTACATTCAGTTTTGAAAATACATTAACATGGATAGTTGAAAAGGATGTACCTTCACAAAAAATGCTACAAAATGTTCACATTTATGTCAATAAGGCATATTTCCTATGAAGATGGTTTATGAAAACTATGTAAAGATTTAATTTATTCATTAACCTCACAGGGTAACATTAATTGTAAATGAAGTACATTTTTATCAGTACAAATGTTCCTTTAACTTTAAATAACACACTTTTTTTTAATCAAGACCACACCACATTTATTAAATGAACATGCATAGCACATTAAAATTAAAATAATTCTTGTACTTTTCTGCACAGTGTTTAGTTTTCCTGATACTCTCTTTGTGAAAAAATGTACTTAAAACTTTGGCACAGAATAAATAAAGTATAATAGCAACTTTTTCATGGCACAGAAACTCCCCTGTTACTATTTACCAAATCTCATTGTAGTACATTGACCAATGATGGTCCTGCTTCGTTTTATTTAGAATAAATAATGGATATTCAAGAAGTACAAGTCATACTTGGGTGTCTGCCTGCACTCTAATCGGAAAGTAGTTAAACTGAGTGTTTAATAGTAAAACACTGCCATCTGAACCGTGGCCAACAGATCTCTAAATAGGTCTTATCAACAATGAGATGCATCATCACGAGATGGTTTCATTAGGAGGCAGAGGAGGCGGAAAGGAAATGCAGATCTCATAAACTGGGAACATATGTGGTAAGGAAGGCAAGCCCACTGAGGCACAAGCGGAGAAAGCTCTCTGAAAACTGGTCCAAGATACCCAGAGGGGACGAGACGGGAACAGGGAGGGCACACAGCCACCCTTCAGGAGGGTGGAGAGGGACCCACAGCTCTAGGCAAACCACAGTGTCCCCTTTACGGCATTCTTGAATCAGCAACGAGTGGCTGGTGTTCGCGAGAAGCTTCAAACTTCCCTATCGGTTTGTCTAAATTGACATTGGAAAAACTATGTTAGCTGGAAGCTGTCTTTTGAGTTCATTCCCAAACATTGTGGGAGTTGTTAAGGGAGTGACATGCTGACCTCCTCTGCACCCCGGAAACACCTTCACACTTGCTCTCGGCTCTGATTGTGGAGTCCTGGTAACTAGGGGACAGGCATGTTTCTCTTTCTGTTGTGTCTTCAGAGACATCAAAACCACCCTGGGTAATCTCAACAGATTACTATCCATCAGAGAGGGAAACACAGGTGGTCTGAAGTCTTACATTTTTCCAAAGTGAGTTCCCTTTGTTAAAATGTTGATTTCAACTTTACATAAATTCACTTTATTTTGAAAAAATAAAAGCATGAACACGATGTTATTTTATTCATTTTATGATCCTTGCTTGCCTTAAGGCCTTCAAGGGTAATGACAAGGAAAATCAAACAGGTTCAATAAAATAGGCAGACTATCTTTCTTTTAAAGCTCTTAAGGTACGCTTAGACACAAAGACTATGAATCACAGAGCACTGAATTTTCAAGAGTGAAATCATACCAGAATCGAGACAAGTTGTCGCTGACATCGTACGAGAGTAAGTGGTCAGGAAGGTCGCCGATGGTGCCCTGCACTGCCAGCACGTGTGGAGCCAAGGTGAAGGGCACGTCACTCAGGAGCTCAGCTGTCTGTGAGCTGTTCTCCAGAGTCTGGCCTGCCTGATTTCCTGTCTCGGAGTCGGCTACAGTCACACTGGATGTGTCTTCTTTGCCGCTCTAAAAATACATAGACATTTAAAACATTTAGAACATATGAACTGTGAGGTTTGGTAATGGTAAATGTGGTATCAGTACATCAAAAAGCCTGGGGGATGTGTAATATATAAATACTGCCAGACTTGAACACAAGCATTTACCCATTTGAGAGATAACTCCGTCCAAATCTCTGCAAGATTTAAAATTCCTACAGTCTGCTCTTGCTCAGAGTGGCCACCCATAGCTCTCTTCAACAAAAACGCATTCTTTTTATTTCCCTAACCCTGAGATGTCTCCAGAGCCTGTCTCTGCTTCTACAAATCCCACGGATACTTTCAGGGCTCTGCTCTATGCTCAGCTTCCCTGTGAAATGTTTTATCAGAGTTGTCGACTCTGGAACCTATGAGGCCAACTGCCCAAGCTATTACTAGGTGCTCTGATGTGCGTTCTTACTAGTGGCTACGCCATATGCATTTTACCTTTAAGCAGATGCTAGCATCCTCAAGTCAAGTGATCTGTGTCTCTGTATCCCATGCCTGGCACAATGTACTGCTCTGTGTGATACACACTTGAGGTTTACCTTTAGTGTGTACCATGAGTATGGGCTGGAACCAACATGTTATTGCACAAACTTTCAAATAAATATCGAGTACCTTGTTCGATTTCTTTTAAATTGGCCTATCTTGTACATACTAGTTTATCAAAAGGCATGTACTAATTAGGATGTTCAGAACAGTGTCCATCATACAGTCAAGCCCAGAGCTATCTAAATACCTGTTAATAGTTGAGTGGACAGGAAACAAGTGTCTGTATATAACAATGAAAATGAATGGCTTGCTACTACAAGCAGCTGAAATGTAATGCAAATAATCTCAGAGAACAAAAACCTTTTTCTTACCCGTCAACCTCATGCAGAATAATTCTCATCTTCACAGAGACCTACAAGACCCCTCCTGAAGGGCTTGGACCTATTATCCCAGCTAGGCAGCCTTGGCCAAGTCTTCTCTAATCCTACTGTAGCCTAGCTCTTGTTATTCACTCCCAGGCTGTTTCAACCGAGCTCGTTGCTTCTGTTCCTCTGTCCAGGAGGCTTTCCTCTCAGATCTGCACTGAGCTAGTCTGTCTTGGACCATCTGTCACCTTCCGAGAGGCCTTTCCTCACCTCTTACTTCAACTGCACCCTGTCCTCTCACCTCTATTCAGTATTCCCTGTCTCCCACTCCTGCTTTTGTCTCTGGCCCTAAGTGTCTTGTCATATGCTTTGTGACTCATGCTAATTATCATCTCTCAGAAGCAAGTTTTCTATCTCATGCTCACTGCTAGATCCCAAATGCCTTCATCAGTACTGAGTGCTCAAAAATGTTTACTGCATGAATAAAAGGAGAAGCACAGCTTAGATTCTAATGGTGACAAATGCTGACAGATTCCTTGTCTAAAGAGAACAATTTACATAAGAGAAACAGCATTTCTAGCAGACCCTTTATTGAAGAATACAATACATACAGGAAGGGATACACTTATTGTCAATGTAGAAATTACTAAATTCTCACAAACAATGCACATGAATAGCTAACACTGTGATCAAGATACATCACACATAATATTCTTTTCTAATCACAATCTACTCCTCTCTCAGTCACCATCCTGACTTCTAAAAGTACAGAATGGTTTGATCTGTGTTTGGATTTTCAATGAATGTCACCTTTGCTTTTGGCTTCTTTCAGTCAATATTGTGTGTATATGGTGTATCTATGCTGTTACATATTGAATGAAAACATTTTGAGAAATGTATTGGTGCAGAGGATGTATATTAATTGATGGCTTGGAAGTCTTGTGGTTGTTATTTGACAGTGGGCATTGGGTAGGGGGAAGGGTAGCCAGTAAAGGAAGGAAGAAGATAGCTGGGAACAGAGAGGCTTTGCTGATGAAATAGAGGTGGGGTAGGAACAAGAGTGCAGTCAAGAATAAGCCCAAAGTTCTTGCCCCGACAGTGAGAAGGATGGAGTCAACCAGTTACTGGGACAGAGGGTGGGGTGAGCAGGTTTGGGCAGCCACACTGAAAGTTGGTGGTAGAGGCTTGAGATGCCTGGAAGACATGAAGCAGAGCTTTTAGTAGAAATGTATATGATCTTAGTCTACAGCTGTAAGACCTGCTGGACAAAGTGGGGGAGAAAACCCATTTTTTTTGGGGGGGTACTATACTGTAAACAGGCAGAGATGAGTTGGCTTTTGGAATGGTGTATGGTGCCAAGAAAGGATTATTTTCATGTTTGTTTTCATTAGAAGTTTGGAGAAGTAGTTATAATGAGAAGAAAAAGGCTTTTAAGGAAAACAATTCATGTAAGGTCAGTAGAAAATGAAGTCTTCTCTCCTAAGGTGTCTACAACAGTCTAGATAAAGGCCCTTAAGAAACACTAGTCTAGGGCCAGGCAGTGGTGGCGCACGCCTTTAATCCCAGCACTCGGGAGGCAGAGGCAGGTGGATCTCTGTGAGTTCCAGGTCAGCCTGGGCTACAGAGTGAGTTCCAGGATAGGCTCCAAAACTACACAGAGAAACTGTGTCTTGAAAAACAAACAAACAAACAAACAAAAAAACAACAAAACAAAACAACAACAACACCCCCCACTAGTCTAGGGAATGACTTGGAATCAACAAAGCTTCCAAACCATGCCTATTAATAGTGGTCTTATAATTTCATGAGAATTATTTCACATAATAAAATCACATAATAATTTCAGAACAGCACTGTTCTGCTTTCCCATAAACATAAGCTTATTTAATCCATATGACAATTTTATAAAATGGGTATACAACCCCAAAGAGCAATGAAAACCAATATACTACCCCTGTTATGAGAAAGCTGATTACAAAGATACAGGTATGAGGGGCACGGGTGCTGATTCAGCTCTAACTGGTCGGTCAAGTGCAGGGAGAGTGGTGAAGGACAGCACTCCAGACGTGGAAAGGATTCACCAGGGGCTGGCTTGTCCGGACAAACTGAAAAGGAAGTAGCATTTGTGTGCACCAGAAAGCCTCAAGATTGCGTATGTGCCAGGGCTTAGGTTACCCCAAATCACAATGGTAGAGCAGTCAGGAGCACTAGTTCTCGACCAGACTATAGGGGCAGAAAGCCCAGAACAAGAAGCAAACGGTCTTGAACTATCTGACTTCTCCCTTTCTCTAGCTGGGTTGTCAGGTGGAGAACAGGCCCTTTCTTTTTATGCTTTGTTTCTACCTTGTTTCTCAATCTCAATAGCAAATCCTTCCTAGATTAGCTCATTTTATACTCTAGTCAACCTCCCTCCCTCTCTCTCCCTCCCTCTCTCTCTTCCTCCCTCCCTCCCTTCTTCCTTCCTTTCTCTTTCTCTCTACACAGCCCTGGCTGTCCTAGAACTCACTATGTAGACCAGGCTGTCCTGGAACTCACAAAGATGCACCTGCCTCTGCCTCCCCAGTGCTAGGATTGAAGGCCTTTGTCACCACACGCGACAAACCTCTTTTTTGCTTGTGCACAGAACATATTGTTTCGTTAATGAAATCATCCCTTTTCAAGAGCATTCTTGACTCACCTCCACTAAGGAAGTGATGTCCTACCCACTAACATTCTCCTCTTCAAAACCAGAACTCTGAAGGCTTAACTCTTTAGCATCAAGTATTTGGTCCCGATTGTGCTTTATTTTTTTCATTAAGAACTTTTTTTATTTATTTTACGGACCAATCACAGTTTGTGCTTTTACGAACCCTCTTTCATTTCCTTTAAAAATCATTCGTATCTGGCAAAAACAGTTTCCTAGAGGGCAAGAATCTTCCAAACCACATCTGGTGCCATAAAGAACTTGGTATATGTGACATCTTGTTCAAGTTGTCCTGATAAAGCAGCCATCAGGGCCTCCGCCTTCCAGGCTGTACAATGAGTGAACAGAGATAAAATGGCGGTGCTGACACAGGGCAACTCTCATGTACTGACATACTTGGTGGCAGGCAGGCTCTAGCCAAGCTGCTCCAAGGGCGGCGTTCACTCACCACTCACTGACATCTCGTAATGGCCCTGCAGGGTGTGTGCTATGTGAAAGGTAAGAGGACAGTGTGACAGAATGTTTAAGGAAGACGTCTCAATACACACAGATTGTCACTGGTGAAATGGAGAATCAAACCAATGGTCCCTTAATAATCTGTCCTATAAACCTACACATTTTCAGATGTGCTCTGCAAAGATACCAGATCAACTGAGCAGTGACAGTTTATGAGATAATAACAGAAAAGAAATAAAAGATTATTTAGCTATAATCACTAAATAGCATACCTTGGCTTAACCTAGAAGGGAAAAAAAAGGTTCTAACATCTTTTACTGTTAGGAAGAAAGGATGGAGTAAACATCCTGCAGACAGACCAAAAAGAGATGGAAAAGCAACTGTAATTTATGATAAATTTATCCCATGAGAACAAGTCTACCAGCAGTCTGGATAAACCCTGGGAAAAACCACGGACAGTGAAAGACCCTCCCGAGCTGATGACGGCTGAGGCAGATTGGAAGGCATGTGGGAACCCACCACAGAATTCCTTCTGTCTTTGCACAAGTCTGAAAAATTTCCTAAATCAAAGTTCTCAAAGTTTTATTTAGTTAAAAAATATCACTAACAGTAGTCTACCAAATGCCTCCTAGAGCGATCTAAATTTCAGCTGTGCTGGATGGATGGCTCCAGCTTCTATCTCCTAACAGTTGGCTTAGTGCAACATTACAGTCTCCAAGGAGGCTGCCTGCCCTCTTGGCAGCAGGGTGAGTGCCATGATGCAGCTGCTGTTGGCATGCTGAGAGCTGGAAGGAGAGAAATTATAAGGCAAAACAAGAATAAGTCGCAAAGAAAATGTGAGTCAAAATTCAAGGGCCCCATACCAGCTAAACCAGATCACTAAGCCTCTAGCTTGGCAGCTCGTGGAGGTGGAGGTGGGGGTGGGGGCTGCGGGCTGGAACAGGTGCACCAGTTCTCGGCAGAAAGCAACCCTCACTCAGACACGAGTCT